AGCAAGTTCAGCCCCTGAGAAGAGACTGATCTGGAAAGTGAAATCACTCAATAGAAAATCACTTCTGTTGAGCTCAGACCAGGACACCCGCTTGGCTTCCTCCTTCCCAGATGATCTCCCCCCTCGCTGTGCACCCCCCTGGCACGGTCTCACCAATGCACCACAGAGCCAGCACCTTCCCACGTGAATCGGAAGCCGTGTCTGCTGTCCCTAAGGCCACTTTGGCATCGTGCACCACGCTCAGGACTGTGACTGCTCCCCATTTCCACAGCCCTTGAGCTTTCTCTCTTTTTCTTTCCCCTCAAGCTTTGCAAACACCCAAAGCTGGATTCCTCTCCCATCAGACGCAGCCCCCATGAGGAGGATGCATTTCACCCTCGCTGCAGCATTCCTTCCTCCCAAATTCAGGTGCAGCCACTCTCCCCTGCAAACCTCTGCAAACTCCTCCCTCCCCGACGCCGCCGTCCCCGACGTTGTCACCAGCCATCCTGCCTTTGCCATCAATCCTCATCGTCCTCCTGGAAGACCGGGAGCAGGGGATGTCTGACCTCCTGTCTGAGCACGGTGGGCTGCCCATCCTTCGCGGCACGCATTAATCTCATAGCACCGCAAGCCGTTTTCAGGGTCTCCCTGCACTCCTTCATCTTTCAGTGCAGACTTTGCTTTCTGCTTTTCAGGCTCTTTGCATCTTTCCTTCTGCTCTTTCCAGACACCCTCTCTGGTGTACGTGCATTGCTTGTTTGCTAGGGGAGATGCTGTGCTCCGCCAGCCTCCCCCTCGTACTCCAGGGGGAGTTTTTGCGCCTTTTCTGTCACAAAACCCCTGCTCTTTCCTATATTTGCACACTGGGCTTCCCGGATCTGCCCAGCTGCAGTCACCAGCCCTGCTCACTTGTCCTGATTTGTGCTTGTTCACAGCCGCAGCCACCAATCTGCTCCTATTGATCTTCCCATTTACGCAAAATGGCATTGACTCATGCCTACTCTAGCTGAAGTTATTTTCTCAAATGGCTTTTCTAAAAACAGCCTCTTTTTCAGCAACAGGTTAAAAAAAAAACAACACCCAAAACCATCAGTCTGCTTCATGCTGCGACCTGGTGAAGAGACATGAGATGCGATATCCAAGGATCTCTGCAGTGACCACCACAGACAAGGCTGTGATTTATAGCATCGCCACCCCTCCAAAGTGCTTCTCTGCCTGGAAGGATTTCTCTCCTGGGTCCTTGTCCTGGCAGAGGGGTCTGGGGCAGGCACCATTGGGGCAGATCTTCCTTTCCCTCTTTCCCCAGGCAATTTGGATCCAGGAAGATCTTTTGACAGTGGCTTTCAACGCTTTGTGCTGTGCCCTTCCTCCTCGTCTCCCATTCTTACCCTCTCCTGCATCCTCCATCCCCTCTGCTCTGGTCACACCAGCTGCTCCCCCTGGTCTTTGGGAACATCCACTGCCATGAGGGGCTCCATGCAGTAACTTGGGGTGCTCCATACCAGCCATGAGGCCACGGTCTGTGTTAATTCCTATGGGCCATCTGCTCTTCCCAAGCCATAGGAAACACCAGCCTTTTGCTCCCCATATCACTTATCCAGCTGCTTGTGTCCATGCAGGTCGGTCCCTTCCCTCGTGGTTATGCTCTTGTTATAAGAGGAGGGTCAATGAGCCAGGAGCTGAAGTGAAGCATCCCCAATGCAGGCACTGCCCGGAGCAAACCCCCATCCTGGGGAGCTTGTGGTGTAGCTCCATGGGTGCATGGAGTTACCCAGGAGCAGCTCTCTGGTCCCTTCCCCAGCCAGTGGCAGACAAGCTGAATCCACAGCAAGGCTTAGCATGGAGGGAACTCTTGTCAGAGAAGTCAAACGGTGTCGGAAAAGGAGAGAAAGTCCAGCCTGAGGGTTGGAGACCACCAAGGCCCTGGTGCAGACTGCAGAGAAGCGGGTTTTGTGGGTGCATGGGGCATTGCTGACCCCCAGCAGGGTTCCTCCATCTCTGGGGATGTTCTGACTCCAGGTGCTCGTGTTTTACCTGGGAAAAGTTGGTTGTGTTGTTAAGAGTGCCCCATGAGGAGGCACAGAGGAGAAGCTGTGATGGTTCAAGTTATCATCAGATAAACCTTCAGGTGTGCACAAACTTTCCCAAATTACTTTCCTTCTAAAATAGTGCCTCTTGGCCTCAAAAGCTCCTGTTTTTCCAGCACAACCCAACCAGACAAGGAGAGTACATGGCTCTCGTTCAACCTCCATTCCCTTTGTCACCAGGACAAATCCACAGCCCACCTCTGGGTCTCCGTGTTGTGGAGCACATCCCCAGCACGCTGGGATTGTGCTCGGTCCCTCTGGAGGGGGCTTGCAGCGTGGTTTGGGGTTGCTCAAGTCTTCTCAGCCCGGCACCCCCTCCTCTTTGCTCCTGGCAGATGCTCCCACACTTCTCCCTGGAAGGACCTGGTGATGGGCATCTCCTGGATCACCTCCTCACTGCTTCTCCTGTGGACTCAGTAGCTTTAGGTTCACACTCAGAACTTTCTGTATCTCACCTCTGTTTATGCCTGAGCTCCAGTTTCTCGTTAGGTTCAGTCTTCCCCTTTTCCTGCAGGCTGGTGTCTCTGCTTTTCCTCACAACCCTCAAGCCTGCTTGAATTACGGAGTCACCTTCAGATGCCTTTCTGGTCCTCCTGTGATCTCTCAGGCTCTCAGAGGTCCCTCCCTTGTGTTGCTTTCTAGGCGTGAATATGAAGCTAGCATCTCAGTGCAGGATTCATGAGCAGACACCTTATTTGTCTGTTACCTTCAAAGATTTAAGATTTATTATTATTTCTAAGATCTGCTCCCACAATCTGTGGTGGAGAGGGGAAGGAGGAGACCTTCCTGTGTCCTCAATAATGGTGTAGACACAATTTGCTCCCGTGAAGGGCAGCAACTGCTCAGCTGGGTCCACTCTGTCACGTTTTTTGGGATCTTTAGACTCATCTCCCATTGCAGCCCAGGAAACCCAGCAGGGACAGAGGAGCTGCTCCACTCCACTCTCCTTTAACAGCCCCTGGGACCCAGACTGAGTGCAGTGGGGAGGTCCCAGCTCTCTCTGGTGCCCTTCAGGTGGCTCAGAGCTGGGGGTTGCCTTGAGGATGGAAGCCCCATGGGCTGAAACCCACCACCTGCCCCCCAAACGTGTCCCCTGAGCCCCCACAGCAATGTGAGCAGTGCCAGAGCAGGGCTGGTGATGCCCCATGGCAGGGGCGAGCGCTCGCCCTCCTTCTCCCTGTCCTTATCTCCTCCTTCTCTCCCTGTAGATGCGCCTCGAATCCCTGCAGCAAAATCTCAGCAGCCCCACCATGTTCCTTCTCTTGGGGTTTTCCAGCGACTACAGAGCACGGATGAGCCTCTGCCTGTGCCTCTCACTCGTTTACCTGACGACCATACTGGGGAACCTGCTCATCATCACCCTGGTGTGGCTGGATGCCCACCTGCACTCCCCCATGTATTTCTTCCTGGGCCACCTCTCCTTCCTGGACATCTGCTACTCCTCCGTCACCGTCCCTAAGATCCTCGCAGACTCCTTTGTGCCACAGAAAACCATCTCCTTTGTGGGCTGTATCACGCAGATCTACTTCTTCCTCTGCTTTGGGGGCTCTGAGTGCATCCTCCTGGCTGCCATGGCCTATGACAGGTACCTGGCCATCTGCCACCCCCTCCACTACCAGGCACTCATGACCAAGAAGATGTGCCACTGTTTAGTGGCTGTTTCGTGGCTGACCGGCTCCTCCTCGTCTCTGATCCAGACAATCCTCACAGCCCACTTGCCTTTCTGCGGCTCCAATGCGATCGACCACTCGTTCTGTGAGATGCCCTTCTTGCTGAAGGCGTCCTGCAGCCCTAACGCTCCCCTCAACAGGGCCATCTTGTACGCTTTTGGTGGGACCATTGCCATGGGCTCTTTCCTCCTCACCCTGGTGTCGTACGTGCACATCATCAGGGCCGTCCTCCAGAAAGGAGCGGGGACGCAGAGGGCCTTTGCCACCTGCACTTCTCACCTGACCGTGGTGTCCCTGTTCTTCGGTGCCGGGGCTGTTGTGTACCTGGTGCCTCACTCCAGCAGCTCCAAGGGGATGGATGAGGTCCTGGCCCTGCTGTACGCAGTTGTGACCCCCATGCTTAACCCCCTCATCTACAGCCTGAGAAATGGTGAGGTCAGGGGGGCCATCAGGAAAGCCCTGACCAGGGGGGTGTTACAGGTGGCCACCAAGGGTGCAGGCATCGCCGCTGAGTGACCACCCCATGGCAGGGACACGGCTCCTGGTGACCCAACACATAAAATCACAGAGTCACAGCATGGTGGGGTTGTCAGAGCCCTCTGGAGCTCCCCCAGAGCAGGATCACCAGGGGAGATCACACAGGAACACGGCCAGGGCTTTGGGTGTCTCCACACAAGGAGACTCCACAACCTCTCTGGGCAGCCTGGGCCATGCTCTGGACCCTCACGCTGACAAAGTTCGTCCTCATCTTCAGGATGAACAGACTAGGAGGGGATTTGGTAAAATTGCTAATTGCTTGGTCCAATAAGTAATTCTGGGAGCCTTTTTCCCAATAAACAGGTATTGCCCGTGTGGAGGAGCTGTGCAGGCTGCCCACACGCTGCTGTTGATGTGACAGTGCCCTTGGTAAGCCACGGCTCTTTTAATCGTTTATCTGCACCGGGGCTTTGTCAGGCTTTCTGGAAAGAGCTTTTATTCCTCAGCAGAGGCCTTCCAGAAGTGAAACCCTGTGCACAGCACAGCAATAACACTCAGCTGTTTGCATCTCCTGTTAAGTGGTGGATAACCTTGTCTGGGCTGGGCTTGCAGTCACTGCAGAGCCGGATGTCTTTCCCTTAACGCAATAAAATATGTATAAGTAGGAAAACCATTGCCAGGGGATTGATCTCTGTAGCTTCAGGAGCCACAGTTAACCCTGGGCACAGCGAGCTGCTTCCACACACAAAACAGTGACAGCAAGGAGGTGGCATCAAGTGTGCCTGGGGCAGCAGAGCAGTCGGGTTTGGGTCCTTTAGGAGGAGTTCAGGGGCTCTTAGCAGCACAGGGAGCCAGGATCCTGGTGGTCACAAATACCCAGGTGTGACAGGATGCTGTGACCACTGCTCTGACTTTGCAGAAATTATGGGAACTGGTTTGCTGTGACTGGAAACATCCCTGTCCTTGGAACCAAGGATTTCCCAGTAGGAACCTGAGGTGCCTTATCCCTGTGAGGATGCAACACGTCCTCCCAGAGCACACAGACAAGGCAGGGGCAGTCGGGGAACCCATCTTTTAAGGCATATACAAAATCAGTGGCTCTTCTGGAAATAAAACAGGGATTTCCTGCACTTTGGGCACAATAACCCCATGGACGCTGCAGGCTTGGGGACGAGTGGCTGGAAAGGACCTGGGGTGTTGGTGGCAGCAATGCCCATGAGCCAGCAATGTGCCCTTGAGCCAAGAAGGCCAACGCCATCCTGCACTGGATGAGAAGGGGTGGTTGTAGGGCAGAGAGGTTCTCCTGCCCCTCTGCTCTGCCCTGCTCACACCACAGCTGCAATCTTGTGTCCAGTGCTGGGCCCTCAGCTCCAGAAGGACAGGAACTGCTTGAAAGAGTCCAGCAGGGCCACAGAGATGCTGGAGGGAGTGGAGCATCTCCTGCTGAGGAGCGGCTGAGGGAGCTGGGGCTCTTGAGCTTGGAGCAGAGGAGACTGAGGGGTGCCCTCAGTGTTGTATTTGATCCGCCTTGACCAGTGCGGGGCTGTCTTCAATCCCCATTCTGTGAGTGTGTCTGAGAAGAGAGGCCAAAAACAACTGAGCTTCTTCTCAGTGGACGTGGCTGATGTGGCTTCACACGCTTTGAAGACCTGATGAGAAAATTAGTTTCTTCTTTTGTCTAGCAGTGGCTAGAGGACACCCCTCATCACCTCTGCATCCAACCCAATTAATTGGGTGATGACCCTATTCCTCCTAGAAAGTTGTCCAGTCTTGGTCAGAAGATGATGAGATGGAAATGGGGGTGATGAAAAAGGGTAAGAGATGTGCAAGGGATGCAGTGGAGGGGTGCAGGGTGTGTGGGGGTAGGGGAGGGGTGTAGGTGATGCTGGGTGCAGGGGAAGGGTGCAGGGTGTTGAGGGGTGCAGGGTGGGTGGGTGGAGGGGTTTGGATGTAGGGGAGCAGAGCAGGGGTGCAGGATGAGGCCCAGGCACTACATAAGAAACGTGTGGCAGCCCACGGCCGCCCGCCCCGGG